TAACTCTTTATAGTGGTGTTTAAGGAAATAAAGTCAGGATGCCTCTCAAGATAAATTACATACTGCTTTGTAGTTTCTGTAGTCAATGGCACACTGAGATGTGTATGATATAACTAGGCTTATATTGATGTAGTCTGTTTATAACCGTACGCTGCCCGGTACCTGCATAGATTTATTCCTTTACAGACAGCTTGGCTGAGGAGGACAGTTCTTAAAAATTCAGAGTGAGGCTCAAGCTCCAGGTTGTCCATTCACTGCTCCAACATTGCTTTTTCTGTATAGGGGACCCAGATAGAGCCTGACCACTGCTGCTGTTTGCAGTCTAGAGCCTAATTCAGCTGTTGTACCTTGAGGCCTTGCATAATGGCATGGATAGAATCTCCTGACGGTGTTGTGGCCGAACAAATACTTGAAGGAATTCTTTAGGACTGAAGTAAAATAATTTCTGAGTTTATAGCCAAGACTCCAGATGTTCTGGAATATGGAATTCAGAAGACATCTAATCTCACAATGGATATGATAAATTAATATTGCTCCGTTTGACTCCACAACATTGAAAACCTGGAGTCCACAGATGTGTTTTTGAACATGTATGGCTACTTTTGAAAAGCAAGTACTTTATATTTGAAATCTTGATACCTATTTCAGGCAGATATGTCCAAAATATCCAGGGTTCTTCATGAAGAACTATTACAATTTACTTTTAAAAGTTTGTTTGTTTGTTTGTTTTTTTAATATAAACTTAGTATTTTGGGGTACTATTCACAAGACAAAACTTCAACCTACCAAACTAGGTCTCTCTCACCACCCTCTATAGCAAGTAGAGGCTCAGGACCTTCAAAGGTGATGCAAAAGTGATTACTTTCTCTGATGACTATAAGGGGACCTCAAGGAGTGCAGCCTTGCAAGATCTAAGTAAATCCTCTTGAATGCTTGTCACCAGTACATACCCAAATAAACGGGCTTCATTTCACTTGGCTGGATCTTGTTTATTTTAGTCCTGCTAATGAGAGTACTTCAGTTCTGTGTTGTAACTGAATTCTTGATTATGGCTAAAGGGGGCATGTTCTTTGATTCACGTAATGAATACTAATAGTATTTACTATTTTAATACCTATGGCTCATTGTATCCTTTTATATATCCTTTTTATGTATTTTTTTTAATAAATTTAGCCCGTATCTGTTAGCCTCACTACTTGAAGAGATTAGATGATGATTTAAGTAGTTCTGCCCAAATCTTCTTTATAATCTACTGATCAGTTTTCAGATGGGAGATACAGTGCAACTATTAGGTAAAAAATTGTAGCGCTTCAGAAGCGTATACAAAGGGAAATGAAAAACCTTATCAGAATACATATATTCCTTTGTTTAAGCTATCTCTTCAATTTAATGAAGTATGAAGGTTGTAGAATCACTGCTGTCTTTGTTAATACTGTTAACTGTTGGCATGTGCCCACCAAAGAGTCCGCTGGAGACCTTGAGTCCTTCAGGTTTGTGTAGCTAATGCAAACGTATTAGTTTGCATCTGTATACCTTGGAGTGCAGAAGGATCTGTAATGCCCATGAAGGTCATGATCCCCTGCTGATATAGATGAACTCCATTAAAAACAGTGGAGATATGGTGATTTGTTTCAACTGAGAATCTGCTCTTAGATATGTACCATTTTAAATGAAAATTCAGTAGTATTTTCTGCACATGTGGTTTTTGAGTCATTCAACTGATGATATTTGCCAGCATGTGAAAAATAGGCCTGTATTATTGGCAATACTCAGCATTTATCTTCAGGCTATGCAGTGTTAATTAAAAATACTTGTTTTTACGTAGTGGAGTATTAATAATAATGTGACAGTGCTTGTAAAATGTTTCATATGTTAAAAATACATTGAAATAGGAACTGGATATTGCTTGTAATATCTTCACAAGGGAGCCATATAGTCGTTATTACATATATTTTACAGAATAAAACTGTAGCTGAGTGTAGGAAAACAGAGAAAGGAATGAGCTTGACTGCATAACTTTTGAAATCCAGAGCCTAGAATAATGTCCATAATTTTCCTAGCCCTTTTCTTAATTCTGTCACCCCTTACAAGAATGAACTATTTCGGGATAGACTTGTTTGTTCTAAAGTATGGTAGTCATTAGAAGAAAGTTAATGGACAAGTAGATGCAGACTATTGCAGATACGGACATTAGCTATATTACTGGAGAGTGGAATATAGCGTAGAGATGTTTGTATCATGTTTAGTTTCACTATGCCATTGTTTTTATATATACTTTTAAAATGTTAAATCTGGTATTTTTCAGCTATTAAAAAAAGTGTAATCATCTAGTGTAGGTCTTGAACTGTTACTGTCATGTACATATTTGAGATGGAAGTCTGCAGGGGAATATAAACTTAATTTAAAGGACTAATTCAGCATTCGAAGGTACTTGGCACCAATGGACAAAACCTTACAGAAGGTGGACAACAGGGCGCAAGGCCATTGACTACTCCCACAGCAGACTTTGTAGTCAGGTGTCGCCCTAACTTTAACAGACTGTATATGCAATTTTGAAATATTTAAATCTTTATAGAAAGGATTTATCAAAACAATAATGTGGGGTTTGGAGTTTAAAATTTCTTCAAGGAAGAGTGAGAGTCTGCAGTTATGAGGTTACCCGCATTCTGGACCCGTCCACACTCTACAGTCTGAAGCTGCATTTTACAATGTATTTACTTCTTGGGGAAAACATGAAGTAAAGAATAACTTCAATTATAGTTAAGTTTGCTTTCTAGACATTGATTATTGAGAATTATGTTAAGAATTTGTAAAGAAAGTATTTTTTCCTCGTTCACTGTTCAGTATTTTTATGCCACTCGCTGAGTGAGGTTATTTCGTATTAGCTGCCTCAAAGATTTAGGTTTGCTTAGAGCCAGTTGTATCATTAGTTGCTACCTTTGTAGTTACAGCTTACTAGAGAACTTTTTAAAAAATCCCAATATTTTACATTGATTCTGTCTTCTTCGAAAAATAGGCTTTAAATATAAAGCTTTCAGAGGATGTGCCAGTGTGGAACTGCATCTTTGTCATCTGAAAATGCATAGGCATAAGCTGAGCTGTATCCACAATGCTTTTACGGGTCTTGTTTACCTAGCAGTTTAGAAGGGATCAATTTTGTTGTCAAGGCTGACAATATCTTGCAAAACATAGTACAAGAGTCATTATTTACTTTGGTTCCTGTGCGAGCATCGGTATGAGAAATGGTCACATTACTATGAAATAGGAAGTCAGTATCTAACTTTAGGGATTCCTCGAAGGTTTCAAGGTGAAGTTCAGATCTCTCTCCGAGACCAGTGTTTGATCATCTGTTCCCTGCGAAGACTGTAAGCAATTTCAGAAACAGAAAGTAGTAGGAAAATTTCTAAGTCACCTTGAATATATAAGCTCAATTTTTTAAAGTAATTGTTCCTTTCAGTTGATAGAGAATGTACTATTTATTTCAAGGCATTTATTACATTACATGGTCACTTTTAATGTAAAAGTTCTTTCCTGATCATCTCTGGTCTTTGCTTACTATTAAGCATATTGCTCTGTTCACAGATTATTTTTTTTTTTTTAGCAAGGAAATAATTCTGAAGTATGATATGTTGTATATAACCAGGTTGTACACCTAGGTGCCTACCATGATATTACTACTTTTATTTTCACTAGTATTTATTTTAATATGATTTACAAAATGTCGTATTCAAAATACAGACTTCCTAGTGTACTCTAACTGAAGCCTAAATATTATGGTCAGTATACATATAAGAATCTTAGAGAAGAATCTGATCCTTTCCCTGGAAATGTAATGCGTACTTATGACTCTGTGTAAAGACTCTTCCACTGTTTGTGGTTTCTTTCCTTTGGACCAGGGCAGTCCAAGGTAGTGAGTAATGAATGGTTGCTTTAGAGGAACGAAGTTCATCAGACATTTTGAATTTTCACGTAGTTTATGTACTAACATGGAAAAAAGATTATTCCAAACAGCTAGCAGACACAGAACTGCTATGGTAATGTTGCACAGAAAAAATGCTGGGCAGTACAATAAAAGTGTTGACTATGCTTTTCAAATGGGTAGTAATGATATAAGCACTTTGCTTATAGATAGAAATTAAAAGCTAAGATTGTTTGGAAAGAATACAACTGATTCTCTCAAGAGCTCGATCTTCTATTAAAGCTGAGAATGAATGTGCTGTTAAATGAAGAGATTGTCCATTCTGATTGACAGTGTTTGCACTGCAACATCTTGGACATTTTGAAACTCACCCGTTCTGTTTTACAGGAGTAAAATCATGAATGCTGCAGACTAAAGCACTACCAAACTGCATTGTGGGCACCTGAATTTATAAATTGACTCTAGAGAGATAACATCATTTTTCATATGAATATGGTGATAATGGATTGATATCAATAATAATAATTATGTTAATGTTGTTCCATAAGTAACCCTGGACTATAAAAAGAGTATTACAGCAATTCAGAAGATAAAAAATGTTTAATTTTGTTCCTATGTACTGCTAGTAAAGCATATGTTTTGATTCAGCGGATTATGCTTAACGCCACAAATTGGCGTTCTGTGAATATTGTGGTACTGGCTTCTGAAACCTATTAAAATTCAAAAAAATCCTTAAGCATATATGATTTACCAAATGTTCTGGTGAACTGAGAACACAAAGAACATACTTGCTAAGAGATCACAAATAACCATTATTGCGTTTTCTATCATATTTATTACAGACTGACAAGAAAGAGAGAAGTAATGCCTTGAATGTTGCAATAGAGAGTATGTGCAAGAAGACAAGAGACCTCCGCAGACAGGTAAGCAACCTGGGGAATTGAAAAGGTAGGAAAGGAGACTTGAAAGATGCTTTTCCAAATTGCTATTTTCAGTTTTTGTAGCACTGCATTTTGAAAACAAAGATCTCTTCTGTATTAAAAAAAATACTGAAGACAGTTACACTATTCCACAGAATATATACATACAAATTTTCAAAACTGGGAAAAAACCCTACCAAATGATACTGGCTGAATATATGTATGTACGTAGGCAAAACTCTGCATGTGTACATGTCTAAATATGTATTTGATATAGAAATAGATCAGTAATGAACTTTGGACATCAAGATCCACTGTATTTTAAATAAGCTTGTATTTTTATTGGCTGTTGGAACAGATACCTTGAAGGGGACCCCTGGGCCACCAGATCAAGTTCTTTACAGTTGTGAGAACTCATACAACAGAACGGGGTCCTTGGAATACCTGGTCCACAGTCGACTCGCCCATTTTGCATCCCAGTATCCTAAAACCAATGTAAAATATGGACCGTAATCCACAACTTCAGTGTACTGCAGAAGATGAGCAGTAGATATCAGGAGCTGTGTTTACATCCTTTCTCTGCAAGGAACATCTTTGAGAAAAATTGCAAATTATGTTGAAAGTATATAACATGCCAGTTTAAAAAAGAGAGCTAGAGAGCCAGTAGTTCTTTCAGCTAGGCTGCTCCAACCAAATACATGAAAATTTGTGGCTATGTGGCACATGAGCACACGCTAGTTTCATCCTGTCTCTAGCTGTGGCTATTTGTCAAGTCTCTGGTGGAAGAATATCCCTCCCAACTTTGTGTACAGTCTTACAAGCCAGCCTGTGCTTCAAGATGATGAATAAATTCCTTCCTGTCTCCTATAATCAGCCAGCGGAAGCCTTGAAAGATGAGATGAATATAATATAAATATAGTGTTTACAACTAACTAGCTATCCAATTTCTGCTCACATTCCATCAAAAATACGTTCAGCTCAGACAGCCAGTGACTTGCATCACAAGCTCAGTGTGTCCAGGAACTCTCCCACTCTGTCCTACAGTTGCTTCCATGAGTTAATTAAACTCTGTCTTATAACAGTTTACTGACTCTGTTACAGTGTTTATAATCCGTTAACTAATTCAATTTCTGTGTTTCTGTAAACCTTTATAAAATGTCCAGGCTGAATGTTATCATGCCCAATTTATAGTCAATCTAGAACCAATAGTTTTCTCTAACCAGAGCAGATCTATGGCTTCTTGACATTTTTCACTGGAAGATATTTATGAGATATATTTAATCTTCTTCCTCCAGTTCTGTGTTCATACATGTGAATTGCATAAGAATTGTTTTAGGAAGAGTGCTTACTGCTTGTCTAATTCCTGATCTGGGAAACATGAAATTGTGAGTTCTGTGCCTGCAGACATTGCAATAGAGTCTTAGTTGCTTTCGCTTATGAACATCCATTATTCTGTCTCTCAGTACTTTTACTAGAAACATGAAACTTGTTATTTGGTCTACTCCTACAGCTTTTATAAAACTTAAATTATTTTTGAATGGTCCTGTGTACCAGAGCTGGTATTGCATTAGGCACTGATAGTGGATTCGAGGCAGTGGTGTGCACAATCTACTCTGCTTTCAGTCAATTGCTGGGATTGCCTCTGCAAAATTGGCATCGAAGATGAAACCTTATGAAGTTGTATTTTTGAAATCTCTTCAGTGTATCTCTTCAGTGTAGTGCACAATAAACAAAAGCATCATATAAGTGCTGGCGCAGTCACGACCTGATTGTGGGTTATGCCATGGACACCTATGGAACATCTTTGTAGACCACAGTAAGTAAAGTGAAGGAAGGCTTGTATCTGGCAAGACTTGAAGGCAAAAGTAGCTATCTCAAGAACAACACTGAATTCTGGAAGTTGTAAAAATCTCTGACTTTTCAAATGGAATGATTTGTATTCACTTCAGGAACTTGGCCAGTACTTGTGGGGATTTTAAACTATCCTGTTTTGGTTTGATTTTAACTTGTACTGTGCCAGAGATGTGCTGGTCATTTCTGTGTGTTCAGTTTTACATAGATCACTGCTTCCCTTCATAATAGAGCTATATGAATATTTAGGAAGAAATTGCCTATTCATTCCAATTTCTAATTCTGAGAAATTACCATACTCAGTTCTTACCCCAGTTGTTTCCCATCGTACCATGAATGGACTGCACAGATGTTTCTGTTGTGGTTGTTCCGCAGTTTTGGTTAGCTGTTTTTTTAAAGCAATGTTATTCCTGGTAACATTCTTATATTTCTGTGTTGCTTCTTCATCATGGATAGCTTTTTCTGAACACAAAGGAGATTGCCTTCCTGGCATCCCTTCGAAACAGGAAAGAGAGATCCCTCAATAATAACTAATCTTTAGTTCTTCCAGGACTTTAGCCAGTGTAGTCTTACAAGGCAATAGGCACATAGAGGCAAACACAGTTTTCTGTACTCGTCGGGATATACTAATGTTTAATGGTGTTGCAAACAGCTGCTGGGATTTTCTTCTCTACCCTCCACTGTTTGTTTTTGACAACCTTATGCTGCATGTTTTATAAACAACATGTTTCTATGTTATTTTTTTAATGCACTTCAATATCAAAACAAAAACTCTGCATGCTTCTACTTCTGTAACAGTCTGCTCAAAGGGGAAGAATAAGACCTTGCACCTTAAAAATAAATCAATTTGTCAGACATCATCTTCCCTCTTCTTTCACTCTCCTGATCAAGTCTCTTTCACTTAAAAATATGCTAAAATTTTAATTATAGCACAGTACCCTCCTTAGTATTGCCTGCTAGCACTACTGGTGCTGTTCCTTGTCTATTTATATATCTCCCTATATGGCTACTTAGCTTTTAGTATTTTGCTCTAGAGGTGGCCAGAGTCAGAAACAGACTTACTGGGTCGTGGAAAAATGATTGTAATGGTTAGGATGAAAAGAAATAGATATTGCTTTGGATATTCTTTTTTTCTTTTGTCTTTTTCCTTTCTTTGTTCTACATTGTATTTTTTCATTCTTTAATGCTACACATGCCATCTTTTGCAAATCTCAGCTTCATGTATTCCTTCACACAGCTGAAACAGGAACATAATTTCAAACTTGTTTGTATTCAGCAAAGACACAGCATTATCTTTTTTTTTTTTTTAAGATGTGTTCCACTGTTTAATTGCAAGATAGAGGATTTTTTAGAACAAAATAGTAACGATGATTTATACGTGAAAGGTTAATTAAACCAAGCAAACCAGTAAAAAGCTACAGCAAAGAATTATGTGATGAGAGATAAAACTAGGCTGCTAGTTTGAAAATTGGATGCCTTAAGCTCACCACAAATGTGACTAAGGTCATTGCAGTCACTGGTCCTCAAATAATACATTAAGGCTGTAAAAGTCCTACAATCTGGGCTATGCAGAACCCAAAAATATTTCTTTTGGAGATAATAAATCATCAGCTGTGGATATGGTTCCACTGCTTTTCATTGCTGATTATTGTTAATTGAAATCTTAATGTTTAAATTGCAATTCCTCAAGGTCACATTCACGTACTTAATTTTAAGTGGGTTAGTATGTCTGTTTTCTTCAGTTGGACTTTTCCAACACAGAAATTTTAACAGGTAACTTGGCAGGACTGGAGGTTCAATATATTTTGTTCCTGGTAGTGAAACTTTTTATTATCTCTTTATTTATTTATTTATTTTAAATTCCAGCCTGAATAAAGCTGGGAATGTGAGCGTGACAATAAAAATTCAATTTTGTATTTGAATCCCATAGCCTTTTCCTTTGTAAATTACTTTTGAGAACATACAACGTATCCAGATAGTATATCCTTATGCGATAAGCTTCAATATGTTAGAAGATAAAAGTAACATTCCAAACTTACCTGTGGTTTCTTGGAAGATTTGTCTGTCCCACATGCCTGGTGAGTCAATGAGAGCTGGCTTTAGATGGTGAGGCTATCCAAAAGCTAGTGGTGGAATTCATATCCAAATCTTGTCTTGATAATCAACATATTTCTCTACTATTATTTCTGCTGTGCGTGTTCACTGCCCTAACTGCAAGGACAGCAGCATCATAAAGATTGTGGTTTTTCACATTTTTCTAGCTGTAGGAGTCTTTACTTCTACCGAGCTTTCACTGAGCAAAATGCTAAGTGAAAACACATCCTTTGGCAACAAACCTGTAGGCACGTAAGAGCTTAAAAGCCTTTTGTGTTCTTTTCTGTTCCCATCAATATCTTTTATATATGTTGTAAAAATAATTCTTTGCAGTAGGAAATTCAGTGAACTTGATAATTTAGTTGCGTTGCATGTGTCGTTACAATAGGTATATTTCTTGTAGTGTTCTATGATTAAAATGAACAATTGCCATGTGTAGGTTTATAACATGGAAAATAACCTCTTAAGTGAAGTAATGTCCCAATGATCAGTTATAAGCTTACATGAAATTTAAGAGAGGTAATTTGTAGCAGAATTTTACACTTCTTTAATAATTTAAGCAAGAAGTTCAAGAACAATTAATTTAAATAGAGACTCACTTATAGTTCTTGCTCTATTAATCTATTATCAGGTGGCATAATCAGTAATCTCATTGATATAATTACCATGAAGGCTACCGTTTTGCTAATCAAACTCTATTGTTGGGTTTTCAACACGGTAGAAAGTATTTGGGTAATTTTGCAGTTATGATAACATATGATGTAGACTATTTTGTGAGTACAAACATAATTATATTAATGTTTGCTTTGTAAACTGAAATAGCCTTCTCCCTTGGTGTCTGAACTTCAAGAGAGAATACCCAGGAGACATTAGGTTTGGTCTAACAGTAGTTTTTCACGTGTGGAATCATTTAAGTAGTCGATTCATCAAAGAACACGAATGTTTGTTTGGCTCCCTTAATTTTGACAGAACTAGTACATGCTTTAAGTGTTTTATGCCATCTACACTCACTCACACATACAAACATGCATATTTAGGTAGTGGTATATTACAATTGTTCCTAAGATTAAATAGAGTTTTCTGTGTAACAGATAAATTGCAGCTGCAGTAGGTTTCAGACATATAATCCTGCAAA